TGTGAATTGGTGGGCTTTGGGCACAGTGTGTGAAGCAGGTGAGTTGAAGGGAGCCCATCTATCTCAGGAAGGCCATTCAGGTGTAGGACCACTTAACAACAATTTGGGCAAGTGGATGCATGATATCCAATGCACGACTACTCTAGCAGGAGTAAGTGAGTGTGTCACAGTGTACCCCTCAGTACCATGAGCCACATGTGTGTGGGGCTACTCCAGTGGGTAGTGAAGCTCTCATACAGTAAGGGTGTCTAAGTCACAAGCTGTTGTCTTTTGTGAGCAATAATGGCGGTGTGGCAGGCAAGTGTGTAGCAGTTTGAGAGAAAGCAAAAGAAGGGTAGCCTTCATCCTATTTGGGTTACGTGGATGCCAGGTACTCTCAGAGGACACAGTGTGCATGGCGATGACATGTGATATGGAAAGTTTTTGATCTCAAGATAGTACCATGCAACATTAGCCTACATAGGGGAGAATATGTGAAATCCCCCCCCCACAGCAGTGCAATAGTAAGTGCTCCCTGGCAGCTCCCCAAATGAGGTTCTGTTCCTGTGGAAATTTAGTAGTCCCCAACAGGAAAAGTTTTAGGTGTTCTTCCTGTCAAGTGGAACTATTTGGGGCCTCTTATATAACTTTTCCCCATTGAGGGGGGACATTATTGGGCTCTAACTTTGCTGAGCTGGGGTAATGGGGCAATGGATGCAAGACACTTTGTCTCCTTCTATAAAAGGTTATTGCAAGTCTCTGTTCTGTGGTTTCTTTTTTTATCCTGTCTGCACTCCACCATCCATCCCACAAATAACACATTTTTATTATTAGTTTTTGTTCCTTTCATGTGGGAGGAAGCCATGTCCTGTTCCTAAAGTCAGCTGTCTTGCAGGAAATCCCCTACTAATTTTTTTGAGTTGTATTTTCAGTTTCATTTAGTGAAATTTTTTAAGTTACTCTCCAGATTTCTATTTTGACCCTTGTGCTGTTCAGAATTGTTATTAATTTACAAGTGCTGTGAGATTTTCCAGTTATCTTTTTATTATTGCTTACTAGTTTAAATCTATTGTGAATTGACAGTTTAACTTTGATTCTGGAAGATACTTTTACTGTGTAAATAATTTTTAGTTCACAGGTTTTTCTGTCTTAACACTGTCTTTAGGATATCCATTATCTTTTGTCTTGGATGGAAAATCTTTCCTCATCCCCCATCCCATGTTTCCCCATTCACAATTCAGACCAGGCACAGGGCCTAGGCTGAAGTGTACCTGGCATTCTTTTTCTCCTCTTTTTACACAGTTAGTGTAAGAACACAGCCTATTAGTTAGCTCCAAGAGGCCTACAGGCACTCCTTAGTGGGGCTGTTGTCTTGGATAGTTTTATGCAAGAAATTTGGTGAAATTCTTTGTCTTTTGCATGTTATGTGTTCTCTGGATCCTTTAACAATTTTCTCTTTATCTCTAATATTCAGAAATTTAATTATACTATTTGATCTGAATTTTTTTCTGCTTGAGTTATTTGAACTTCTGAGATCGTGACACTCTAATTTTCACCAAAGTTTTGGAACTTTCAACCATTTACTTTTCTTATCCCCCTTTCTACTTTCTTCTTGGATTCTAATGTCATGTGTCTGGGTTCCCTTATTATAGTTTAAGGGTCCCTGATATCTGAAATAATTTTTCAATCTCTTCCTCTCCTGTGCTTCCCTGGGTTCATTTGTTTAAATTCACTGAATTTGTCTTTGGAATTGTTTTGATCCGCTATTATTTCCCACTACGTGAATTTTTTCATTTCAGATATTCTAGTTCTCCCAAAAACTCCATTTGCATCGATTAAAAAAGCTTTCATTTTTCCTTTTTCGACACTCATATTTTCTGTTTTTGCAAGTTACAAATATTTTAAAATTATTTTGTTTTGTCTAACAAAACATATCTAATCACTAATCACAATCCTTTTCCAAGTTTTCTCAATTTTTACCAAAACTCTGTGATTTTTCTCTTAATTGTTTGTTATATCTAGGGGGAATTTGATATTTTAGATTTTATTTTTTATTGACTTTATTATTAAATTCAGGTTTTTAGGTTGCTATTTCCATGATTTGAAATTTATCAAGGCATAATATATGGTCACATATCTGATCTCCATGAATACTTGAAAACAAGAAAATAGTCTCTGTTTTAGCTTTAAGAGTATGAAGCTACCTCGGTTTACCTTACTAGTTACATACTTTAGGTCTCTTATATCCTTACATTTTTTTATCTCATCTCCTTCTCCCCTGCCCTTTTGTGATTCAATTATAACTTTCTCCTTGACTTGCCAGGATTCTGAGTGACAATTCCCTCAGAGAAATGACTTCATATTGGCAATCCCAAGTGTCTGCATTATTATTTGGTCAGTACACCTCTGTGTGTCAATTAACAGTGTCTCCCACAATAATAGCACTTTTATAGGTGGATATGCATGAAGTATTGTTAGTTGTAATCAGAGGAAGGTTGAACGTGACTAAGTCTTTGGAAACAGTCACACCCGTCGTCTTTAAATGAGTGGATTAGTGACAGATCTAGAAATAGCTTAGGGATATTGGAATAAAATCGTGACATTCCCAAAGGCCAGTATTGAATAGATGTTTCTAGTGATAGGATTGTTTTGTATAGAAATCAATTAAATGTTACCTTGCACAAAGGAGGTAGCTTTAGCTGAGTTTAGTGAACAAGAATCAGTACAAATAAGAAGAAAAAGACATGAAGTCAGAAACTGAAGTTACTTCTCTTCTTTCTGTTGACCCCATGGATTCCATCTATGGTTAATATTGAAAAACAGGGGTCTGGAATATATAGGAGACAGACTTAAAAGTGTGAATAGAGTCTATTTTCATTATTCCTGGGTTTTATTTCATTTTTTGACATGAAAACAGTACCTTTGTTTTCTCCATTCACTAAACAGTACTGAGAATGAAGTCTCTTCTAAGAAAATCTGAAGGATTCTGTATAGATAAAGACAATGGTGATCTGAGAACTCAACCAGGATGCTCAGAACTGCAGGTATTATATACATTTGCTTTATCCAACCATGTTCATTTTAAAAGCCAGAATGAATTGTGGGTGCATTTGATGTACCTAGAGAAACCCAAATGCTTGTAAATGCTTAAGGACAATCAGCTTTGTCTCTGACTTAGATCTGCCTAGTGTGCTGAGAGTAGAACGGGGGAAAGCAGAAAGGAACTTGTGTGCACCAAACAATTGGAAAATTGTGAGGAAAAAGACAAAGTCTTCTCTGTATGTTGGATAAGAAGCAAAGCAGACAAATATCAGTTCTACCACTCACTGTTCTGGCTTGTTACTTCTCCTGGTCTCACTAAGTTACTGTTTTGTTTTATTGGTTGTTATTTCCATAGGTGACTCAGTAATCACTGCTGCAGACTGAGAGATGTTTCCCGACTGTCTCTATCTTTAAGTTCAGACATGAACCATATATTGAAATAAATGAGATCCATCTCTTAATCTGCATCTTAGGTTCTAAAATCTTTCTGACTACAGGTCTGGTCATCCTGACTTATTGGTATCTCTTTCGCTTCAAAAATTATATGATCATACTAATACTTTGACATTTTTATATACTACATTTTTGTTACTCAAATTTTGCATGTTTGTTAAAATAAAAGCCTTATTGGAAGCAAATGCTTCAGTATGTTCACAGTGCCCAGTGGGCATGGTAGGCATCTAGTAATGTTTGTTGATTAAATTCAGATGGCTATGATAAACAACAAAATAAATAATGCATAAATTTACAATAATATGCTAATTGAGTCACAGAATTAGAGAAAGGAAGATTAATGTGAATAGAGGGACTTCTATTGGATGAGAAACAGCCAGGTGCAAGCAAGGGACCAGATAGTGAATAGAGTAGCAATCCAATGAAGGGAACGCCTTCATTATGGTGTGCTCTGTTACAAACCTTGCTAGCACTGTACTATAAAGAGAGCAGAATGTTAGACTTGAAAGGATTACTTAACATCACCTGACTCACTCTCTTTATTTTAAAGATGATGAAACTGAGTTCAAAAAGTGGGTTGAGTGTGGAAGGGATGGGAGAAAGAACTTACTCAAGTTCCCAGGGGGAGGGCTAGGACTTGCTCACACTCTTGTGGTTCCAAAGGCAATCTTGCCTCAACCATTCCATGAGCCACACAAGTTATCCTGGCATGCAAATGATCTCCAAATGTCAACCATGCAGAACACATTGTATTCTCTCTATCCCTGTTTAGAATCTGCTTCATAATCTCTTTTCTGTTTGTTTGTTTGGATAGTATTACTGGGGTTTGAACTCAGGCCTTTGTGCTTGCTAGGTAGGTGCTCTATTGCCTGATTCACAGCTCCATCCCATGAACCTCCTTTCTGGTCTTGTCCTTTCTCTACCCTTATGCTGTCACAGCTCAGGCTGTATAATCCCTCCCACTCCTTGATCTGAGCTGCTAAATGGGGATGCTTTCAGAGCTTCTACATTTTCTTCTCTCCTTGTGAAGAAAAAGTGAATGTGATTTGACAAAACTGGAATGGTATGTAGCTAAAAATGAGAGGAATTTCCTAAGAGTTGCACTGCATACAGGAGCAATCAACTGGGTAAGAAAAATAAAGGCCATCAGAAGTTTCTTTAGGTCTGGGAAACAAACTGTAAGGAAGAGATAGATAAGTTCATTTCTGCTTCCCATTTTTCCTCTCATGCTACTCCAGCAGGTTCCCAGCTCTCTTATGACCTTTATTCTGATTCATCATCTGTTTTTGCCTAACCTTCCTCCTCTAATGCCGGAGCATTTGAGGAGTGAATAGCAGTCACTTGTGGCATTGTTGTCCATTTTCGTCACCTACTGTTAAAGGGTTCTACAGAAGCATTTTAGCTCTATGAAGTAAGGCAACATCTCTTGACAATTTGAAACTCATGTTGTTAGCTACTCCCCCACAGTTTGATTTTCTTTTTGCTGTCTTTTTCAGGTGATGTTAGAGACAGCATTGCTCTCCAAGCAATGGATGGAGCCAACCACTCTTGGGTGTCTGAGTTTGTGTTCCTGGGACTCTCTAACTCATGGGCAATCCAGATTCTCCTTTTCCTCTTTTCTTCTGTGTTATACATGGCAAGTCTGATGGGAAACCTCCTCATTGTGTTCTCAGTGACCGCTGATGCTAACCTACACTCTCCCATGTACTTCTTGCTGGCCAATCTCTCACTTCTTGACCTAGGAGTTTGCTCTATTGCAGCCCCCAAGATGATTTATGACCTTTTTAGAAAACACAAAGCCATCTCTTTTGGGGGTTGTATAACTCAGATCTTCTTTATTCATGCTGTTGGAGGCACAGAAATGGTGCTGCTCATGGCCATGGCCTTTGACAGGTATGTGGCCATATGCAAGCCCCTCCACTACCTGACCATCATGAGCCCACGGATGTGCATTTTAATTTTGGCTGTATCCTGGATTATCGGCCTCACCCACTCAGTGGCCCAATTGTTTTTTGTTGTAAACTTGCCTTTCTGTGGTCCTAATGTACTGGACAGCTTTTATTGTGATCTCCCTCAGCTCATTAAACTTGCTTGCACAGATACCAACAGACTGGAGTTCATGGTCACAGCCAACAGTGGACTCATCTCTGTGGGCTCCTTCTTCATACTGGTCATTTCTTACATCTTCATTCTGGTCACTGTTCCAAAACACTCTTCAGGTGGTTTGTCTAAGGCCCTTGCTACTCTGTCAGCTCATGTAACTGTGGTGGTTTTGTTCTTTGGACCATTAATCTTCTTCTATACCTGGCCCTTCCCTTCATCACACTTGGACAAATTTCTTGCTATCTTTGATGCAGTTCTCACTCCTTTTCTGAACCCAATTATCTATACATTAAGGAACAAGGAGATGAAGACAGCAATTTGGAAACTTTGCTATCAGCTTGTAATTTATAGGAAGATATCCTAAATACTTTAACAATAAACAAAAAGCGGCTCTACACTCTATGACAATGGGAAAATAAAGTCTTTGAAATTAGATCTCTATTGATATTCTGTACTGGGTTACACTTAGTATTCACCATGTTATTATATGTCTCTAATTCCAGATCAATATGAACAAAGGGAGGTAAATTGGAGACTCCAATTGCTCAGACCTGTGCTAGACATTTAATACAAATTAACTAACACTAAGGATAATTCTGTGCAGTGAGTGTTTTTACCTTTATAACTTTTAATGAATTCAAAGAAGTGTTTTTTTCTCATTCCTTTTGTAATTATTGTGCAAAATGCTTCAAACCAAAGTTGATTTTCACCTTAATCCTCCACTTCTAATATTCTAACCCTCAATAGGTACCAAACAGAGAACATGGCCAATAATTTAGTTTTGGATACAAATATTTACTGCTGTTTCCTGTTTCAAACTGGTTAATGTCCTTTTCTCAAACCATCTGCCAAACTTCTGTAATGATTCATTGGTTTGATGTTTTCACCTTCTTCCTTTAGTATCTACTTTGATTCCTGTGTCCTTTGGCTACTTAGAAAATTCTGGTTGTATAGTGGTTGAATTGTGGGATCTTTGAACAGGAGTTTTAGAAGTCATTTGTTCCTACCTGTTTATTTTATGATGATAAGACTCAGTAACAGAGGTGCTAGATGATAGATTTAGGTTAAGAATCTAGACTTCTCACTTTTGGATTAATTTTTTTTTAATATTTAACCCCACTTGCTTATTTGAGTTCTTGATCTTTCTGCTAACAGAAGACACTTGTAGCTTTTTAATACTTTCCTATTTCTGATCCCAGTGATAACAGAAGTGACACAAGTGAGGTCACTATTCTTCTCCTTGGCATCAATTTCATGGTTATTCATTGTTTCTGAGATTGTTGGCTCTTTTCTTGGACCAGGTCCAAAGTATTTTATAGATGTGTGATTACGTCATCACATGTCCTCAGTCTTGTCTATGGCTTTTATTTATGCTGCTTTTTTAAAGTCTACAATTCACCAGTATTCTTCAGTCAGGCTCTTCTACCTGAAAATCACTCTAAAGGGTGTCCATGATCCTTTTTCTTATTTCTACCAAGACCTGGCAGTTATCATATGTAATTTTCAAGAATTTCAGGTGTGACTAATACTACATTCCTTTATATGTTTATACTTCTGCTTCTCTTGACAATCTCATGAAGTGCTTCTCTGGATACTAGCCTCATGAAATTGTGTGATTCTCTGACTTCCTATTTGGTAAATGGAAACTTAAGCTTTATTCCAAATAAAATTCAGAGTAGATGTATTAACATTTTTCTTGACCTTAACTGTTTAATTTGCAAGCCTGGTTGAAACTGCCATAGGTACTTTCTGGTCTGTCTGTATCCCCACAGGATTTTAAAAGCCCATTCATTGTTTTTGTTCAATTACCATCACATCCACTACCACTGCCATCTTCAGTTTTCAAAACCAAAAAAACATTCATTGACTGCTTAGGATGTGTCAGGTAATATCCCAAGATTTTTACAGATATTAGTTAATTTAACTCTAACAGAAACTAGGCAGATAATATTCTTTCTTATTTCATGGGTAGGGTCCCAAGACACAGGTACATGTTGTAACTTGTCTGGGGACACCAGGACTGGGATGGACATCTAGATGTTCTGTTCCAGCACCTCTGCTCTTGGTCACCACTCTGCCACCTCCCAGGATGGTGGTCCCTTTACCTGTACTCCTAAAATCTAAGTGCATGTTTTCTGTCTGTAGGTAACAGCATAAAATAGCAAACCTAAAACATGCAGCAACTCAATAAAATATGCTATTTGAGATCTTTGTTCTGAAAGTCATTTTAATAGATCATTAAATTTTTCCTTTATTTGCCAAAGACAGTGAAATTCAGAACTGAATTTTATAGTAAAATAAGTTTTATATTCTTCTGTGCAAACACAATTATATGTAAGTGGATAGCAGTACACTGTCTACTCCTTGGAGATGTTTAGCTTATGATAGAGTCATGCTATTTCAGAAAAGTCTTGAAGACATGGGGTTTCTTCATTTTCATAGAACCAGACTTTGCATTATTGCAGGCAGAAGATAAGCCAATTCAAATTAATGTTTGACAGATAGAAATGACTGCTAAATTTCCTCTATGCTGGTTAGCCCATTCTGTCTCTCAAGGAATAGTGACATAAAAAGTTGGGTTTCAATCAGAAGATTAGAATTAGGCCAGTCATCTGTCCACAGGCATTAAACAGTATCCAGAATAACTTGATAGAAATAATAAATAACACATAATTTTAAACTTCTAGGATATCACTGCTTTGTGGATGAGAGGGATATGTCAACAAATCACAACAGTGCACTGGATGTGATGCTTATCTGTGATTTACCTAAGCATGCATATGTTATCAGCTCAACTGTACGTGTACATATATTAAAATGTCACACTGAGCACCATGAATATATTCAATCCTTAGGTCTCAATAAAGCTGAGGGCAAAGGAGAGTCAGAAAGAAACTTGCTAGGTAGATGTGAAAGGGAATTCATACTAGGAAAATGTGAAAAGTGTGTTATGTTGTGAAAGAAAAGCTGTCCTCAAAGAACAAAGTACAGGGCAGAGCTGGCAGAGACCATATGCACACATACACTGGGTTAAACTAAGAGTAGTAGCAGGTAATGGGAGAAATGTGAACATGACAGTGACATGGCCAGATTCGAGCTTTTGAAGATCAAATCTGAGAGGGCTGATGATCTTGTAGTAACAAGATGCAAGAGAGGGCTTTTGTGGTGCAAGTAAAAACCACCAGCAGGAACTAAAGGAGCAGAAGTGGTAATAGAAAGAGGAGGATGGTTCAAGATAAATTGCTTTGACTTAGTGATTATTCCTACTGATTGCAAAGGAGTGTTAAAGGTAAGGCCAAGACTTGGGAATAGTATCAGTTAACCTCAGTAGAGTAAATGTTAGATAACTGAACAAATTGTATTTCTGTGCACCTGTTATATGATTTGAAATTAGATAGATATAAATCTGCTGTTACAAATGATGGCAAATTTGTGTCTTGCAAATCATAGTTTTAGGCAAGAGGACTTTGAATTTACTCCAAAGCATTTGTAGTTATTTTTAAGTGACTAAAACAATTAAAAAATATCTCTTAGAACTCCCCTGTACAATCAGCATAAGACATTATCAAATTTCTTGTGATGGATATTCTAAGAAATTAATGACTTTTGCATGGTTTATAGTGGTTTCCTTGTTTTCATTGTCATTAGTGGTATACTTAATGAAAGTTTTCCATGGACAGTCTCATTTATTTGTAACAATTCTATGAAGCACGTTGTAAAAGTGCTAAATGTGGAGGAGTAAGATGACTTTATCATTTTCTTACAGTTTCCACGTTGTGGGAATTGTATCCTTTCAGGTGCTGGAAGAGTAGTCTATGAGACATAAACCCTCATCCTTGTGTTCAGGCCAGCCTGTGCATCTTCATGGACCACAAGGCTCACCCAGAGAAGCAGTAACCCTGCATTTGTGGTGAATGCACCAATTGGGAATCAAAAACTATTATTTTTTAGATATCGACATGTTACAAAGTTTTTACACTGATATGTAAAACCATACATGTTGCATATATTGAGGGGTACATGCAATGTTTCCAAGTAAGCATACGTTGTGCATAGCTCAGATCAGTAAAACTTATGTATTTCCTCAAATATTTACTGTTTATTAATGGTGAAAGCACTCAGAATCCCTTCTTCTAACTTTTAAATCTGCAGGTTATATTTGTCATCTAAGTCATCCAGGGTCCCACAGCACTCCAGAACTTCTCACAGACTGGAGCTAGCCACTGGTAAGCCTTGCATGGCTGTCTTTAATAGTTCTCATCTGGGTGGGAGCCTGCTGCTCTTAGCATGGAGATTCTTTTTTGTTTGTTTGATTTTTTGTTTTGTTGTTATTGTTGTTTGGTGGGACTGGGGTTTGAACTCAGAGCTTCACACTTGCAAATCAGGTGCTCTACCATTTGAGCCACACCTCCAGTCCATGATGTTATTCTGCTTTTTTTCTTTTATTTGCAGTTGGGATCTCACAAGCTATTTGCCCAGGCTGGCCTCGATCCATGGTCCTCAGAATCTCAGCCTCCCCAGTAGCTGGGATTACAGGTGTATGCTACCAGTGCCAGGCCAGCATGGAGTTTCTTGTAAGGGATGCTTGCTTGGGAGGCTAACACCTCCCAAAAGCTAGTCTTGGAAGTCGCAGTCTAAACTGCTAAACCCCAGATATTCTGCTGTGGGATGTCTTTGAAGGCCTTGTGTGCAGATACTCCTGTTGCAAGGAGAATGTTATCACCATGATGTTACTTCCTATGGAGAGTACGATTTAAGGAATGTGTTCTTAGGTTAAAGAAACAGAATCTACAGTGCTCTGTTGGGATATCTGATAGGTTTCTAGGTAAGCTATTAGTTTATAAAATAAAACAGAGGTCAAAGATTGGCAGAGATACAAGGAGACATGTGGATCATAACACTTAAAAGGAGAGGTCACCTTGAATCATATGTTTGTTATTCTTCCTTTTGTTTCACCTCACACAGGACACTTCAAGCTTCTTTATGCTCCACATTTTTGGTCATGTAATTTTGTTCTTTGCTTCTTATTTCTAAAGAGCTCATTAATTTTAGAGTTTGCTGTCTTTCAATCAAGTACATTTTCTCATTTTAGTTTTTGCTGACTATTTTTTAATTAAAATTTTGGTTTTCAATTGACATATATTTGTATATTTATAGATTATGAGGTAATGATTAAATAAATCTAATTATCATATCCACCCCCTCATATGCTAATTAATGGTTATTTCTGTTTTGTTTGCTTTAATATCCCTTTCATTTTGTATTTTCATGAGGGTATGTTAAAGTACAAGGGGGTAATTTTTACATTTACACAAATGCAAAACCTACACTTTGAACAATTTCACCCCCTCTATTATATTATAT